TCTGATGAAGTGAGCTGTAGCTCACGAAAGCTCATGCTCAAATAAATTGGTTAGTCTCTAAGGTGCCACAAGTACTCCTTTTCTTTTTGCGAATACAGACTAACACGGCTGTTCCTCTGAAACCTGTTCTTTTGGAGAAGAAACAAGGAATCTCCTCTCCCCACTACACTGCAGAGCCTATGCCCCAGCCCCCTAGTGTAGATGCAATGTGTGCCAACAGAAGGAGTTCTGCCAGTAAAGTGTAACCCTTCTACCAATGACCTTAGGCAGCAACAAGGGCTGGGTCCTTATTTTAGGCAGGGGATTCTCTACAGTTTCTTAATTTTTGGCTCGAACGTCCACCAAGTGATCACTACCAATAACCGCTCTGAGTACCTTTGCTAGGCAAATCTGTGCCCACTTGCAAGCACAGACATTTAAACAAACAAACTTCATTGGGGGGGAGGGGAGGGGGGAGGGTGAAGGGGGGGTGGTGGAGTAGAAAAGGGAAAGGCCAGGTTGAATGGGACAAATATTTACAATTTCACACCTTCCACCACCGTTTACCCCAGGGTGCATAAGTCACAGTCCCAAACAATTGGACCCTGAATGGCTGATGCAGTTTGTTCTGCCTTCCAGCCTCCCACTCTCAGTTCATGGTTCCCCAGCTTCCACACTTACAGTTTGTGATTCCAAGAGTTCAGGAAAATCAGAGTCCCTGTTTCGTAGGCAGCCCTGGGGCTCTACCTGTCCTGCTTTATTGCTTTCAGCACCTAGGACAGGCAGCCTCATCGGAGTCGCTAAGCTGACACAGACAGTTGCTACAAATCCCTCTGCTCTCGCTGGAGTGCTCTCTGTTGCTCTCACTCTGCTGCTGGAAGCTGTGACCTGTGCGTGAAACCACCTGCTGCTTTTCTTTGCTTACTGAGTGCTATGGCTGGGTCCAACTCCAACCTTGCTTTGCCTGCTGCTCAGGTGACCAGAACTGCTGCTGGGCTCTGGGTTCTGCTTGCCGCTGATGGAAACCTTTGGTGAGCTCTGTTCACATAAGGCAATGACAGGTCTTACAGAGCAATTTCAGATACAAGGGGTACAGTGGTTTTAAAAATCCATCAGAGTCCCTACCACCTAATAAGGTGTTCCCAGCACAGCATGTCCAGCCTTTGTACTTCTATCCCCTGGGTCTGTCTGTCCCTGGGCTCTTACCCCACCCCAGCAAACACTGGTTTAATCAGGGTGACTCCTACCCAGTCATTGTCTAGGCTTTGTGCAGGTGGGTTCCCAACAGGGTAATCTCAAAAATATGGGCCCCAAGTACAAAACTTTGTCAAATTATACCCCCGTGTCCCCAAACTACCTGTTGTTTATATGTAAAGGAGATACTGTCACTCAGTTGATGGCCCTTGTTGTCCAGCAGATGATAGCAGAGAACACATTAATATTTAAATGAGGTACTGCCTCACTCAGTCTTCTTTGTCTGGCTGAAGTAAATGTAGATCAACAACTATAGTATTACATTAAGATGGTTAAGCCAGATAATTGTGTCTAGAGTAGCAGAGTGTATTGCTGTCATGGCTCCTTTGTATTTGTGGGCATTGGGTTGTTGTATGTTCCATGGTCTGTTCTGTGTGGCCACAGTCGCACGCTGGAGAGTCTTTAATTTTCCATTTGTGCAGCAAGTATCCATATCTGCCATGGTTTGTGCAGATACAGTTTAGGGTTGCCCATGAGCTTCACGGGAGACCGAAGCCAGGGATCTTCCACACTGGGTCTTTCACAAGGTGTCCATTTGTGACTTCTTGGGAACTCCATTCGGCTTTCCAAGCTTCATCAGGGTTGAAGTTGCATTGTTGAAGGTTAAATGCATGGGTCCAAAAGGGCTTACACAACTTCATCGGTGGTGAGGGATGTTGTTAAGGTCCTGGTGGGTGGGAAGACATTCGTTTTCCATGATCCACTGGAATTCCCAAAGTATTGCGGCATTGCGGTGAATGGATGGGGGAGCAATGTGCAACAGTACTGGCAGCCATGGCGGTGGGTCGACTTGAGGTTTCCAGTGATGCACCACATTGCAGTGTTCAGTTGGACATCAACAAGTCGAGTATGGCTACTTCTGATCCATACCAGTGCGCAGTACTCGGCTACGGAGTACAAAGGGCCATCGTTGATGTCCGTGACACTGATGCTCCCCAGGTTGTGCTTGCCAGTTTCTGGACCAGGTTGACCCTTGGTCTTTGTCACGCAGTGAGCTCCCCTTGGTCTCCAGCAGGTGGCATCAGAGAGCTCACTCAATTATGTCCCTTCTCTCATAGGCTTCAGGCCACGGAGTTTACAATAGGAACACCACCTCACCCAAGCAGCTGATAGGTGCCCTGCTCTGTTGGCATAGCTGCATGTACTCTGGGTTTTTTGTTAGCATAGTTATGTCAGTTAGAGGGTGGGGTTTTCTACAGACTCTCTGACCGACGTAACTATGTCCATATAAATTTTAAATGTAGACCAGGCGTCTCTCTCACACTCACATGATTTTGGAAGGGATTCTGGTCTGAAACCCTCTCCTGTAAGCTTGTGGCACTTAGCTAAGGATTAATGGGTAGTGACTCCAGAATACCAATGTGGCCATTCCTTCTTTCTTTCACTTTTCTGTTGATGCTGTTTATCAAAAGGAGTATCCATCTATCCTAGGTACCTCTACTACCTGGATGCTCATGTGCATTTAGATCCCACCTACAGACCTGCCCCTGCAGTGCTCACAGGAAGTGAGTCTAAAATCCTAGTCAATCACTCCTCTGGGCTTCCCGGTGTATTCTGTCATCTCTTCTTGTCTTGTTTAGATTACATGCTCTTTGGGATAGGTCTACTAGGGTTTCATTATTCAGCACCAAGCACATTATTCAAATAATAAATAATAATATAAAACTTTTTAAACTCACCACTTCTGGATGATAGTTCCAAGTGGCAGCATAATATTAACCTGAGGGTGTTATTACATAAGTGTCCTTGGTAAATCTCAGTTTTGGTTCCTTTCTGCTTCTGTGCTTCGGTTCTGTGGACTTTCTTTTATCCTGGGGCCAGTTACAAATGTTTTGTTCTCTTTCCTATACCCTGAGGCATGGGGCTTGATTCTCCTCTCATTTATTCCAATGTAAATTGAGAGTCAGTCCTTTGAAGTCATTGGAATTACATGAGTGTAGAACTAATAATAAATTGCAGGAGAATGAGGTGCAAAGGGGTTGGACTGCAGAAGAGGAGCTGATGAATAATTGCTAGACAAGTACAGCATTCCTTTTTTTAATTACTTCAAACTCTCTAATTGCATCTATCCACATAGATTCAAAGGTTGTTTTTTTTTTAAGGCCAAAAGGGGCCATTTTCATAGAATATCGGGGTTGGAAGGGACCTCAGGAGGTCATCTAGTTCAGCCCCCTGCTCAAAGCAGGACCAATCCCCAACTAAATCATTATAATCATCTTCTCTGACCTCCTGCGTAACCATTCACCCATTCATTCCTGTGTCAAGCCCATAATTTCTCTTTGAATCAGACCATATCTTTTAGAAAGACATCTTGTCTTGAATTAAAGACTTCAAGTGATGAAGAATCCATCAGATCACTAGATAAGTTGTTCCAGTCATTAATTACCATCACTGTAAAAATATTTGCCTTATTTCTAGTCCTACTTCCAAACATTGGTTTTTGTGATGCCTTTTCTGCTAAATTAAAGAGCCCCCTACCATCTGAGATCTTCTCCCTATGTAGGTACTTACAGATTCGTAGATTCCAAGGCCAAAATGGACCATGGTGATCATCTAATCTGACCTCCTGTGTAGCATAGGCCATAAAACTTCCCTCAAATAATTCCTATAGCATATTTTTTTAGAAAAACATCCTGTCTTGCTTTAAAAATTGTCAATGATGGAGAATCCACCACAATCCTTGGTAAATTGTTCCATTGGTTAATTACTCCCACTGTTAAAAAGTTACATTTTATTTCTAATCAGAATTTGTCTAGCTTCAATTTCCAGTCATTGGATCATGTTTATACCTTTCTTTGCTAGATTGAGGGCCCCATTATTAAATATTTGTTCCCCATGTAGATACTTATAGACTGTAATCAAGGCACCCCTTAATCTTCTGTTTTGTTACGCTAATAGATTGAGCTCTTTGAGTCTGTCACTATAAGACATGTTTTCCAATCCTTTATTGTTCTTGTGGCTCTTCTTTGAACTCTCTCTAATTTATCAACATCATTCTTGAATTGTGAGCACCAGAACTGGGCACAGTATTCCAGCAGTGGTCACACCAGTGCCAAATATAGAGGTAAATTAACCTCTCTGCTCCTACTTGTGATTCCTACTTATGTGTTCCAGGATTGCATTAGCCATTTCGTCCATGTACTAGGAGCTCACATTCAGCTGATGACCCCCAAATCTTTTTTCAGAGTCACTTCTTCCCACTGGAGGTAGTGACAAGTTCTGAGGTTCTGTGCTGGTTATCAGGTACATTAGCAAATGTGGCAGACATTCAGGCACCAACAGCGTAGAGCAGCTACCTACCAAGGTTGGCAAATCTGCCTTAAAGAGAAGCAGCAAACTGGGAAAAAGATCCATGCAGCTTTTTCCATTAGGATGCTAGCCTGGAGACGTTCCTACTTCCTGACCTCTCTCAGGGCAGGCAGCAAAGAGTCTGTTTGTAGCTGAATGTTAGGGGTCTGTGCTTTCAAAGAAGAATGTCTTGAGTTCTGATCCACGCCGTGTGCAACTAGCTGATGGCCATGCTGTCTGACTGAATACTGTGCTGGATTTTTATTTCATTACAGTAGGGGATCACAGTAATGCTGTGTGGTGAGCTACAAAGATGACAAGCTGACACCAAGCCAGATGGAAAGCTTTTTGGTACTGCATATTTTACACTGAGGCATCCAGGGGAAATGTTTCGTGGAGCATAACTCCCTGCCTGTTTGCGGTCTGTCTTTCACTCTTCTCTGTTCATAAACTAATCCAACATGCATATTTCATTACAGGTCTCTAAGAAGTACAGTGAGATTGATGAGTTTTACCAAAAGCTGACCGCCCGCTACCCACAGGCATCTCTTCCACCATTACCGAGGAAAGCTCTGTTTGTTGGGGAATCTGATATCCGAGAACGAAGAGTGGTGTTCAATGACATCATGAGGCTCATTGCCAAAGATTTGGAACTCGCAACAAGTCCTGAATTATTGGAATTCTTAGGTAACTAAAATAATTATATTGCACATGCACTCAGACCCCCCCCACCCGTTAAAACGATATGAAGTTAAGCACTCAAAAGTTAGGAAATACTAGAATTATGGTCTCCTGTGCAACCTTAATTCAGCCCCCCGTGTGCATATGCATTATGGTACAGCCTTTAATGACATGATCACATGCTATTTTTTCCTTCCCTCATTCATTGCACAGGATGGACCTGCTCTGGAGATGAATGAGGGCTGCATATTGAAGGAGGCTGTTGTCTATAGACCTTGCTTTATTTGTTGCTGAAGTTGGAAGATGTGTAGTGAAAGAGACGGGACTGCAGGAAGAGAAAGGATGGTCTTATGGTTCAGGCAGTTGAATGCCGCCCTGGAGAACTGGATTTTGCACCTGCCCCTGCCACAGGGTACCTGTGTGATCACTTAAAGCAGTCTTTTCACGAGTGGTCACTAATTGTGTGTTCCTCATTTTCTGGATGCCTGACTTGAGATACTGGGGTCTGATTTGCAGAAATTCAGAGCACTCACAGCTGCAACTGAAGTCAATGGGAGCTATGCCATGAACATATAAAATGCTATATAATGCTCTGAAAAACCAGGCCTTAGGCATCTCAAATTGGGCATCCAATATTAATGAATGCTTTTGACTCTGATCTGTCTGTGCCTCAGTTCTCCACCTGTAAGCGGAGGATAATACACCCACTTTCCTCGCAGAGGTGTTGTGAAAATCAATTAATTAATGTTTGTGAAGCACATGGATACTAGAGTGATAAATGCCATAGGAAAGCCTATGAGGAAATTAATAATTCTGTCTTCATGGTAGGATTTGAACAGTGTGCAGTAAATAAGGTCTGGGGCCACACACTGAACAATGAGAAAAGACAGTATTGAATAGCTGCTCCCTAAATGAATGAAGCAGAGGGTCCTGTGGGAAAAACAGGATGTGACCATATAATTAAAGACTGTATCATAATGCATACTCATAAGGGGTTGCACAGGTAATCTTAATTCTGGCATTTCCTAACTTTGGGGTGTTTGACATTGCAACCTTAATAATGTTCTTATAAACACAGTATTTTTGTGTGTAATTTTCTAGGTTTTTTAAAAAGCAAATTGGAAGATTATCTGAAGAGTTGGAACCTTTACATCCACTGCACAGACATCTGCCACTTGAGCTAACAGAGTAACTGATAGCAGTAGTAGGCCCTTATCCTCTGTGTGGACCAGCAGTAGAGGGGGATGCAACACTTTGCCAGAGGCTTTCATAGATATTTTCTGGAAGCAGAGGAATGATGAGACTTGGGAATTTTGGGTTCCGTTCCAGGTTCTGGAGTGGTGCATGCTCTAATACAGAGGTTCCCAAACTTTTCTTATTGCTTATCTCCTTCCAGAACTACCAGATGCCTGCGTACTCCTATCCTTCTCATCACTGATACTTTGTGTGTTCTTCGCAACACTACCTGTCTTTAGCCATCTGTCCATATTTCACTGTTACGTACAGATATATTTATAGTGTAACGTACATAACCGAAATAAAACCCCTTGACTAAGTTCTGAGCTCAGTTAGACTGGACAGTTGCTGGGCAACTGAACCCACGTTGTACGGTGGCTGGAGATGAGGGCTGTATATGTCAGCGTCTCTGTGTATCTGTGTGTTCTCATTGGTACATCTTGAAGTAAATTAACTACCTTATTTAATATAACAAATTTCCACAGAGTTTTAAAGCTTCATCTGAGTAGCCTATTATGAAAATGCAATAAATAAAATAATTAAAATCCACCATTATACAATTTCTCCCATGTGCTCCCCAGAGATGTCTTGCGTACCCCCGGGGGTATGTGTACCACAGGTGGGCACAGTCTCTTCTACCCATTTTAGATTTTAATTTATGTGTGCAAATTGAAGAATTGCACCACATACTTATCTCAGCTTCATTTTTCATGCAGTCCAGGGTTGTACTTTTAGTTTTCACTCTCTGATGGGGTTTGACCTGAGAGCAGCCCAGATATGTTAAGTCAGTATCAAATATTTCAGATCTAGAGGTGCATATAATGGCATGTTAGTGGATAGGGGGAACTAACTCTCCAGTCCAGATTGCTGGATATAGTTGACAATAGCTGATTGTAAAGCTAGGAACACATTCCCCAAGCCTAACTATTGGGAACAAGTGGAAGAAATTGACAAAAAAAGTATGGCTGTGAGTTTAAATTGGCATGCTCAGTTCTTCATGAATTATTGTTTTTTCGCAGGGACAAAATCTACTAGTGTCATTGACTTGAAAGGTAAAAATGTTCCTGAGGAGGAGGAGGAAGATGAAGAAAATGAAGAGTTAGATTTTTTCAAAGAGGAGAGGACATCCGACATACTCCCTCGGTTTGGGTTAATAAAAGATCAAGATGCTGAAAAAGAGGAGGAAGAGGAGGAAGAAGATGTAGATCCTCTTGGCATAATCAGGTATGACTGTCTTCTTTCTCTGTTTTATGCCATTTTTACGTATAGCATATGGGGCAGGCTTCACTTACACCATTGAAGTTGGAGTTGCAACAATATAAAGCATTTTTATTATGGTGTCCACGTGTGGGCTTTCTTGTTCTTCTTCCTGACTCCGAAGATCTCATATGGTCCCGAGCAAAAGCAACAGTATCTGAAGACTCTGAATAATTAAATAAAGACCTACTTAGGTAAACAAACATAGATATCTACTTAACTTGTAATTCTAAGGCAATTATTTTCTTTATTTAAATCTGAAATCCCTCACTAATTCCCAAAACCACTTCTAAATTGCAACAGAAGCCCTGCAGCTAAATTGGCTTACCTATGTAGCCAGGATTGTCAGCAGTGACAACAGCAATATTGTGGATTGTCAGCAGTGCCTAACTTGAGATACTTTAAAGTTTAAAGGATCTTGATATTCAGGAAGTGCTAAACAACCCTCCTCCGAAAATCGAGCTCCTTTAAGGTATGTCAAGTCAGACACCCAGAATCACCAGTTACTTCTGAAAATCTTGTCTTAGGACTTTAACACTGCTCTGAACTGGTTCCTCCCTAGGATGGCAACATGGGATGGATCTTTCCTTTTACTTTTCCCATTTAAATCTGAATGTGACTTAACCTAAGGTCATTCCCAAGCCTGGGTCTCCCACGCTGCAGTTGGGCCAAGCAGAAATGTTTAATTCTGGAAGCATGTTTTAGAGCTCATTGCCACTATTAGAACAAGTTGCAATTACTAACTTTCAGACGTTGTTCTTTTTACTTAGTGTACTTCATTCCTTGATTGTCATTGGAATAGTTTAACTGTTATTCATTTAGCAATTGAACAGGTTCTTTGCCAAGTATCCAAATTATTTCTTTTTTTTTTAAAGATGGATTTTTAAAAAATGGTTAAATTACTGTTTACAGTGAGACTCTAGGTATAGCAATACTTCCCACAAAATCAGCCTCAGCTGGGCAATTTACAAAAGAAGCTGTCCTTTTTTGGATAGGAAAATGATCTTTTGAGTTAGAAAATGTATTGTTGGATTTCCCACTTACACCAAAGATAAGCTGTAAAGAATTCACAGTGCCAAAATAAACAAGAAGTTTGCTTTCCCGTTCTGTGGTGGTTTGACTTGTGTCTAAAAGTCTGAATCTTTGGATCTCTTGAGTGTATCGAGGGATGAACAGATCTGGCACTTAATCCCCATTTAACTTCCTGTTCGCCACTTCCTACGAAAGCAGCATTCTTGCTGAAATCAATGGAGTTTTTCCTAAGTAAGAGCAAACAAGGCACTTAAAAATATGTACTCGGCTACAGTGGGAATCTCTGCATTGTTGGTGAATTTTTTAAAAATCAAATGCTTTGAAAAATAAATTCTTAACAGGTGGCTGTTCTGGCATCCAGCTAATCTGGTTCTTCTTCTTTTAAAAAGTTCTGCACAAAGCACCCGTATTAAGGGTGTTACAAAAGCCAGAAATTTAAACTTGAAATGATAAGCCGGAATCTGACCTTATGTTGCTGCTACACTGGTGTAACTCCATCAGCTTCAGTGGAAGTAACTCCCATTTTACACCAAGGTAATGGAGATCAGAACCAGGCCTCATGTCTTGAGCAGCTCCTTTTGTGCCTATATTACTGATCTTATGCTACATATCTTTATTTATTATTATTTATGTGTATTTTTGTGGTACTTAGACGCCCAGGACGCCATTGTGTGGAAGCACTGTACAAAAACATAAATATGTGCTGAACCCTGGCTTCAGGCACTCTGCCATAATTAAATGTCACAGTAACATCTCAAATAACGTGGCCTGGTTTTTACCGCTATAAAATATAAAAATACCAGCCAATTACTCCCCTCCCCCACTGCAAATAACATCTGTACATGTTGATAGCCTGTGTTAAGTCTTAAGTGAAAGACTGGGTTCAACCTGACCCCACAACAAGGCGGAGAAATGGCTAGTTTTATATTGACAGTGTATTGAGTTTCTCTTTAATCAACAGTATTGTCCATCTTTTCCATTTATTGCACACTTTGAAAAGTATGTAACAGTGACATCTGTGGCTGCTTTTCCTGTGGGAGGCTTTAACTTTGGTGGTCCTGATTTTTTTTTTTCTTTTTTGTTTTTTGTTGTTGCTTAACCATATGGGCGTAAAGCTTTAACTTGCAAACATGCTGTACTTGAAACGGCATAGTATGCTTGTGGTTTCTGAAAATACTCGTGCAGCCGATTCTAAAATGTTGCAGTGCGGTTTATAATGAGGAAATGGTGGTTCACCAGCTGGGTAAGGCTCAAGGAAGAAAACAAAAATGAACGTGAGGTCAAAGACATTGAAAATCTACTATTGTTAGAATAGGACGGTAGTGATAGCTGCAAGGCAGGAGTGGTCATTTCATGGTGATTAGGATACTACAGAAGGGATGTGGACAAATTGGAGAGAGTCCAGCGGAGGGCAATGGAAATGATCGGGGGCTGGGGCACATGACTTACGAGGAGAGGCTGAGGGAACTGGTCTTGTTTAGTTTGCAGAAGAGAAGAGAGAGGGGGGATTTGATAGCAGTCTTCAACTACCTGAAGGGGGGTTCAAAAGAGGATGTAGCTTGGCTGTTTTCAGTGATGGCAGATGACAGAAGAAGGAGCAATGGTCTCAAGTTGCAGTGCGGGAGGTCTAGGTTGGATATTAGGAAACACTGTTTCACTGGGAAGATGGTGAAGCACTGGAATGAGTTACCTAGGGAGGTGGTGGAATCTCCATCCTTAGAGGTATTTAAGGCCTGGCTTGACAAAGCCAAAGCCGGGATGATTTAGTTGGGGTTGATACAGCTTTGAGCAGGGGTTTGGACTAAATGACCTCCAGAGGTCTCTTCCAAACCTAATCTTCTATGATTCTATGATACTTCTGGCAAACACATCTGCATAATTGAAATGGGCTACATCAGTATCATGCTGAAGTATTTAAAAATTAAACATTCCACTAAACCACTGAAGGGAAAGCCATGGCATGTTTATATCTGAGGGGCAGGGACAGGGTTGAGAAGCTGTTTATTGGCAGCCAGAACATCCTAGATAAGATTGATAAGCACCAGAAAAATCTTCATTCTGCAGAGGAAAAGGGTATAATTTGTCAGCTGCTTGGGAAGAGGTTTATTTGGGGTGAAGTGACACAAGGAAAGTGAGACTCATGGAGCATTCAAATGTCTGCCATATGGGTCTGTTCTCTGTCTCCAGTGGAGTCTGATAGGGGCTCTGCTCTCTGCAGATATGCAGGCAAGAAATGATTTTAGAATTTTTTACCTTTCTTTTCTGATGGAAGGGGGAGTGTTTCTGAGGGACCAAAATTGGACATGTCTCACTTTGAAACTTAAGCAATTAAGTAAGTTGTGGAACCTCCTTCACTGGAGGTTTTCAAAAAGAGGCTGGATAGCTATCTGTCTTGGATCCTGCATCTTGGCAGGGGATAAAACCAGGTAACCCTTGCGTCCCTTCTAACACTATGATTCTATATTGGTTGGTTGTGAGAGGCATTTCACTATTTAAGATACTACATAGAAAGATTAAACAGGTATTAGGTAACTAATAAGATCTGTAAAGTACTGGTTAGAAGGTAGATGTCAGATTGTTGAAGGTATGCACTCTGTGCTGAATTTGATGGGAAACGGAGTCCCACAGGGCTCTGAATTCAGTAATCTTGAATATTTGTATTAATGGTTTAGTTTAGCCAAAGCTACCAAGGGTAAGAGCCTTAAGTTTGCAGACAATATTAAATTAGAAGGAGGAGTTAAGAGATGTAGCTACAATGAAGGATAATCTTGATAGATTAGAAAAATGGTCAAATGGAATATAGGATGTCAAAGTGGACTTGCATCTGCTCGTAGGGTTGCCAGGTGTCCAGTTTTCGACCGGAATGCCCAGTCGAAAAGGGCGGCCCAACCCTGGCGGCTCTGGTCAGCACTGACAACCGGGCCATTAAAAGTCCGGTCGGCAGTGCTGCAGGTCTAAGGCAGGCTCTGCACTCCCACTGGCCAGGAATCACTGCCAATGGGAGCTGGGGGGGGTGGTGTCTGTGGGCGAGAGCAGCGTGAGGAGCCTCCTGGCCCCCTCATCTAGGAGCTGGACCACTTCTAGGGCGCAGCACAGTGCCAGGACGGGTAGGGACTAGCCTGCCTTAGCCTTGCAGCACCGCTGACCAGGAGTCGTCTGAGGTAAGCCCGAGCCCCAACCCCCGCCCCAGCCCTGAGCCCCCTCAAACCCAGAACCCACTCCTGCACCCCAACCCCCTCATTCCTCCCAAGAGCCTCCACCCCCAGCCCAGAGCCCATACCCCCTCCTGCAACCCAACCCTCTGCCTCAACCCACAGCCCCCTCCTGCACTCCAAATCCCTTGGCCGCCCCCCAACCTGGAGCCCCCTCTTGTACCCCAGACCCTGCACCTTCCCCTGGAGCCCTCATCCCCTCCCTCACCCCAACTCCCTGCTCCAGGATGGAGACCCCTCCCTCACCCTGAACCCCTTATTTCTGGCCCCACCCTGGAGCCTGTACCCCCAATTAGAGCCCTCACCCCCACCCACACCCCTCATCCCAGCCCAGTGAGGGTGGGGGAGAGCAAGCCACCGAGGAGGGGGAATGCAGGGAGTGGGGCCTCAGAAAGGGGCGGGATAGGGGTGCGGCCTCAGAAAGGGGTGGATCCTCAGGAAAGGGGCGGGGCTAGGGTGTTCAGTTTTGTGTGATTAGAAAGTTGGCAACCCTATCTGCTGGGCCTTGTCATCCCTGCTGCCATCAGGATTCTACCATTTTGCTAAAGTTGTTGGTCCTCAGGCCACTCATTCCTCCCCTCCCCACCCCGCACCCCTCCCACACACATGGACCAGTCCTTGAATTCACAGTTTTATTTGGTCCTATGTTAGTAGTTTGTTATGGGTCTTTGGTAGCGTGACTGTATTTTCCAAAACGTGACTGTATTTTCCCTGAGCCACCCC